ACAGAAAACTCTTAAAAGGAATTTTTATATATGTATGCCTGTTCTTTTTCTTTTTAATGTGTATGTCCCTGATTTACATTTATTAGTTTACTGTTATTAACCCTCCAGTTAACCAGCATCTATGGAAATATCTACACGGTGTGGCTGGGACAGACACCTGTGGTAGTACTAAATGGATACAAAGCAGTGAAAGACGGCATAGTCACCCATTCAGAAGAGCTTTCTGGACGACCTCTCACCCCTTTCTACAGGGACATGATGGGCAAAAAAGGTACAAGACGCTACGGTACTGAAAAGTGAAGATGACACTGCAAAGAAGAAAGATGCTTTTCCCATACACACACATGCAGGATTTCCTGCCGCACAACTACGTAACTGGGCAAACAGGTTCCATGCAGAGCTGGCATATTAAGAAGGTGAAAACCAAAAAATGTGCCTCTTACACAGCATACCATTGCTTCTTTTCCTCCCAGTCGATTCAAAGGAACGTCTGCATAGAGGAGCTGCCCTTCAATTGTATCACTTCTAAAACAGAAGATTGTTCATGCTGAAGACACTTATAGACAAGCTGTTCTATCCCTACCAAAACCTGTTACCACTGAATTTTCAGGGTCACGTTTATAAGCAACTATATCACTGGCAATCATAAAAATCCAATTACAGACCAAAAGTCAATATCTGAAATCATGATTCTCTCTTTGTTCATTAAATAGATCTTAATTTAAATTCCATTTTGTCTCCTGTAATGAAAAGTTTCCCTTCCTAGCAATGAAATAAACATTTCTGTTTTCTTAGGTATTTTTCTGACAAGTGGGCACACCTGGAAGCAACAAAGACGCTTTGGCATGACAATTATAAGAAGTCTGGGACTTGGTAAGAACAACTTGGAGCACCAAATACAAATGGAGGCCTGTCACCTTGTGGACATCTTTGCAAACAAGAAAGGTAAATTCATCAAAAGAAAAAGACTTAGAGCTTTTTCTGAAATGTAGTAGATTCTGGAAGTGAAAGTCTCAGAACACATTTTATGAGCAATACAGATACGATTTCCCACATTAGTGGGACTTTTACTGGCTTCTTAATTACATTCTTAGCAAAAACAAAAAAATGTTTTGTCTGCAAGAGTTGGCAATATAAAACTGTTTTTAAAATAAGGACAGTGAAAAAAATGTTTATTATCAACACAGTCTTGGGGACAGCTGGTAGCAATTCCTACCACTGAAGGGGTGTTGAAACAACCTATGTTTTCCTCCATAAAAAACACAATTTGTGACCTGCACAATCGTGACCTAGTAGTTCTATGGCAGCAGGCCTTTGGGATTTGGCAAAGGAAGAACTGCAACACAAGGAATTTATCATTCAGTTGTCTAAAACTTCTTATGAGATCTGGATGAAATGTAAACCAGTAAGATTTTAGCAAGATGCCAGAGTAAAGCAACTAAATATAAATATCCTGAACAGCCAAATCCCTCATCCACATCGTGTTCCATACTCATGAGAAAATGCACAGAAGTTGCCCTAAGGTCTCTCTCCAACTCTCTTTGCCCTAGTTACAGCCTCTCTCTCGAGAGCAACATATTTCTTAGAACTTTTAAGAGGCAAGAAACCAACCAGCCATCTAGTCGTAGCTCATGTACAGCCCAACTCTTTACCTTCCAGGCAATCCTTCCTCAATTTTATACTAAATATTTTTATTTGCTCTCTCCAAGAAGGATTACAAGGGTTGGACTGAAGTCAAAGAGACACACAACCCATCACTTTCCTTAGTAGTATAGTTCAACAGTTGTCCTTGCCATTAACATGCGTACTTAATTTGAATTTTTCCAGATTCAGCCTCTATTCATTTGTTCTTGTTATGCCTTTCTCTGTTACATTAAATGATACTTACATTAAATGATTCAGTATTTGCTTTATATGGTAGCTACATAAAGGTAGCTGCACAAGTGATCAAAGTCACCTCTCAATTTTCTTTTTCCATTATTTCTAGATTAGTAATATAAATCCTTAAAAGTGTCAGACTTTGAAGAGAATCTTGTGGAGCCCTGGTAGAAGTGTCCTCAAGTGACAGGAGTTCGAAAAGTGAATGAGCATTAGAAAATTAGTTCCTATCCATGTAAAAATATGCTTCACTGAAATGGTTTAGTATACCTACACCATTATGCTCAAAACTCATTATCTCATGAAGAATAAAAATCAAGATAGTTTTGTTCACGGCCATTAATTATATCTTTGTGCTTTAATTATCAGTTGAGCATCTCAGCTTTTCCACAGTTTTGCCCGCATTCACATTGGGTTAGCTAGTCTTTAGTCATCCAGATCTTCCCATCTTCCCTTGTAACATTTTGGCACAGAATTAGTACCCTTCCAATTGTTTAAATTTCTTGCCTACTCCAGGATTTAATACACACTAAGAGAGACAAATCTCAGCTGATTCTTTCAGGACCACCTAGTGCAACATACCCATTCATTTCAGAATATTTACTCCTGGTTAATGCTGGTTAGCAAACGGCTATGACTAAATGATTAAGGTGCTGCACCAGCAAGTTAGTTGGGCCTTTCTGAACAGCTACAGGATAGAGCCTCCTGTGCTACCAATGGAAGCAAAGGTATATCCTCCTAATACATTACATTTCTAAATATAGAGGGCCCTCTACGACTACTAGAATCTTGTTTCAAATACAGTTTTTAGATCCTTATGCTTCCTAGCAATGTGCTTTTCCTTACATTTCTTAGCACCGGCTTTCCAAATTTTGTAACATGTTTATATTAACATTATTTGATCCTTCCCCCTGCCCCATACAATACATGTTTTTCTTTATTTCGAATTGCTGTCTTCACTTTGCTACCGAGCCAAGATGGAAGCCACAGACTACCCTCAATCCTTTGTTAATTCATCTATACTTGTCCTGAAGAGATCCACAACAGTGTTTCACCATGGTGGATGGAATTCTTTTGCCTTATAATATTCACAAATACATTCCCTAGCTATATATGTATGTATGTGTGTGTGTGTGTATATACATTTTTTTTGCAGGCAGTAATAAAACATGATTAAAGTCTTTAAAAAAAAAACTCACATTTGCCTTCAGATGTGAGAACATATGTTCTAATCCTCTGCTTGTGCTTTCACAAAACCCAGACCACAAGTCAGACAGAGTAAAAAGAGACCTAACACCTGTCTTCTCAAAACCAATATTCACTCTATCTTACAAGAGTTG